GAGGAGAGTGGAAATTCCACCATTGAGGAATAATACCTGCCTAGAGCCAAACTTGCAACGTCTGTCTTGGGCAAGATCAAGTCAAAGACTGGAGTCTAAGGTCCAGGACGGGCGTGGCAACTTTGGCTGACTTGATCTGATTGGGCAGGAATACAGTCTACTACCCAATGGTGGAGTCTCCATCTCAGTGCTGGAGAAGACTCCTGCGAGTCCCCTGGACTGCAAGCCGATCCAACCGGTCAGTCCTAGAGGAGATCAACCCCGACTGCTCTTGAGAAGGCCAGATCCTGAAGTGGAAATTCAACTACTTTGGCCACCTAATGAGAAGGAAGGACTCACTGGAGAAGAGCCTGATGCTGGGAAAGATGGAGGGCAATAGAAGAAGGGGACGACAGAGAATGAGGTGGCTGGATGGAGTCCCTGAAGCAGGAGGCCTGATCTTAAATGGACTCCAGAATGTGGTAGAGGACAGGAAGGCCTGGAGGAACGTGGTCCATGGGGTCGCGATGGGCCGGACACGACTTCGCAACTAACAACAACAACAACATTTCAGATCTTCTAAATGGCTTGAGTTCGACATGTTTTAGAAACCACCAAGATCACAGTACATCAACTATGCCAGTGGTGGCGAACCTATGGCACGTGTGCCAGAGGTGGCACTCAGAGCCCTCTCTGTGGGCATGCGCGCCATGCCCCGGAGATGGCAACCGTCCCTCTTCAACCAGCCGCCCGCTAACTCGCCGAGGTCCCATGTGGCTGGATGCATCCCAGCAGCCATGTGCTCGCTGGTCTGTGTGTGCAGGGGCCGATGGTGTCAGGCAGCAGCCGTCCCGGCCCCTGCCTCGCCTTGCCCTGTGACAATGGCGCCCCCGCCCTGCCTCGCCTCTGCCCACAAGACGAGCCTCCTGCCCACCACCCCATCTGCCAGAGACCCCCTGGATTTCCCCCAACCCTGCCCGGCCCCCCACAGGCGTCCCTCCCCATGAGCAACATTGAGGTGCTCACACCCACCTTGGCCACACCCACCCAATCTGCCATGACCACCACAGCCATGACCACCCAGTGGGCCATGCCCACCTGGCAATAAATAAGTGGGTTTTGGGTTGCAGTTTGAGCACTCGGTCTCTAAAAGGTTCGCCATCACTGAACTATGCTGATGCTAAAGCCTCACTGTGGAATAGCATCTTGGCAAGGCCTTTATAGTTCTGCAAAACTCTTCTCCTGAAGAATGCCAAAACTAAAGTTTTGAGTATCCTCAAAGAAGAACGCAAAGTACTCGTGGCACAGGTTTCAGAGCTGAGGTTAGCTGATGGTGGCAGGGACTTTTAATTGAAATAAACGAAAAGAATTAGTCACCTAACCGATGCCTCTTTTTGTGCAATCTTCCTCAACTTTCAGAACAAGGAAAATACAACAAATGCGTGACTGTTTTTTTTTTAAAAAAGAATTTGCTTGGTCTGATTAGTCTTAGTCAGAATTGGCCTAGTCTGACTTCCAGTCTCTAAGCAGGTGAAATAATGTTTATATTGCCAATTCCTGGATAACGGGAGATACAATTAAATCCAACATTGTTAAGATAATGCATTAATAATATGTTTAACTGAAATACCCAAAAACTTGCAGGCACTCAGTGTGGAAGGAGATAATTATAGAGCTTTTTAAAATCAGCCATTCAGCAGCTAACGAATTAGTTCGAATTAAAAAAAACAACACACAAGATAAAATAACAGTGCTGCAGAATGATAGGATGGTTTTGTTCTTCCCTATAAAGTATTATAAGCCAGAAGAGAGAGTTCAAAATTACAGATAGTTAAGTTTCTAAAAGAAAAAATGGCACCTTCTTGGCTTATATTCCAAAATATGGATGGAGGCCAAAATTCAAAATTCAGTTCCATTACGTTTTGCAGAGAACACGAGACTTAATGGAACACTGAGAAACCAAATTAAAAATATATCTAGCTGTTCGTATTTGAAGTAAATAGTCTTCTGCTTCTGCTTCTTGGGACTTTTCCAGCTGCTTTGAGATTTCAAACCTCACATGGAAGCCTGTCAAGGCCAAGCCCAAAGATAATACAGTGAAATCCAAACATAATTCAATCCTTTATTTGCTTAGTCAGCTAATAGCATCTTGGCACATTAAAGCTATAACCTCCTAACCTACTAAATTTATCCTGAGAGTTTCTAGGGTGTGGCTGCCCTGAACATCTTCCCTCCTGCCCCATCCATCTTGGGTTTGTGCAGCCTCTTAAATCTGGGCTTCTCTCTGGGAAAGCTATAATAATAATAAAGTTGGAAGGGACCTTGGAGGTCATCTAGTCCAACCCCCTGCTCAGGCAGGAAACCCTACACTATTTCGGACAAATGGCTGTCCAGTCTCTTCTTAAAAACCTCCAGTGTTGGAGCATTCACCACTTCTGGAGGCAGGTTGTTCCACTGGTTAATTGTTCTGACTGTCAGGAAGTTTCTCCTTAGTTCCAGGTTGCTTCTCTCCTTGATGAGTTTCCATCCGTTGCTTCTCGTCCTGCCTTCAGGCGCCTTGGAGAATGGCTTGACTCCCTCTTCTTTGGGGCAGCCCCTGAGATATTGGAACACTGCTATCATGTCCCCCCTCGTCCTTCTCTTCATTAAACTAAACACCCAATTCCAGCAGCCGTTCCTTATATGTTTTAGCCTCCAGTCCCCTGATCATCTTTGTTGCTCTTCTCTGCACTCTTTCTAGAGTCTCAACATCTTTTTTACAATGTGGTGACCAAAACTGGATGCCATATTCCAAGTGTGGCCTTACCAAGACATTGTAAAGTGGTATTAACACTTCATGTGATCTTGATTCTATCCCTCTGTTAATGCAGCCTAGCACTGTGTTGGCCTTTTTGGCAGCTGCAGCACACGGCTGGCTCCTATTTAAGTGATTGTCCACTAAGACTCCGAGATCCCTCTCACAGTTACTACTATTGAGCAAGGTACCCCCTATACTATACCTGTACATTTGGTTTTTCTTGCCTAAATGTAGAACCTTGCTTTTTTCACCATTGAATTTCATTTTGTTAGATAGCGCCCAGTGTTCAAGTCTGTCCAGGTCCTCCTGTATCTTAAGCCTGTCTTCTGGAGTGTTGGCTATTCCTGCCAGCTTGGTGTCAGTAACAGAGGCTTGACCTTCTACTATTTCTATTCTACTATTGAACAATCTCAAGAAACACCTTTATCCATCACTTTCCTGCTACATGAGATTAAAAAGAGACGGAAATCTCTATTAACCTGGAACATTTCAGAAAGGTTCTGAAACATGTAAGTTACAAGCTTGGAAGTCAGAAAACCCAAAAGTTCTTACCTGGTAGGTATTGTCAAAGCTGTCATACATGAATCTGGTGATCAAGGAAGTCTTCCCAACTGGAAAAACAAACAAACACATTGGTAACATCCAACTAAAATTCTAAGCATCAACCTAGAGCAGTTAAGGAAAAAGCAATCTGACACCAATCACATTTTGACAAGGATTGTGATTTAGTGACAACAATGAAATGAGCCATATGGCCCCAAACTGTTCACTTTGAAAGATTTTTAGCTAACAGCATGTGAGCGAACATTTATTGTTAACAACTGTCCCCATTACAGTAAGATTCAGTTGTCAAAAGCTTTCATACTTTGCAACCGTGGCTGAACCGTTGTTCAGTTGAACTTTGGGAAAAAGAGTCTACTAATCCAGGATTGGCCAAACACAATGATCAAGAACAGAGGTCTCCAAACATGGCATCTTTAGGATTTGTGAACTTCAACTCCCAGAATTCCCAGCCAGCCAGAACTGAAGCAGCACATTTTTAAGGAAAACAAAACAAAACAAAATAAAACAAAACAAGAAGATCCAGTTGCCTTTGGGAAAAGCAGCTTTGGGGGTCTCCCCCAACATTAGGTTAGCTCCATCCCCCCTCCTGATGTTCCAGAAATCCTTAGCTATGTCACCAATCCCAGGAATCCCAGGGAAAACCGGAAATATGTGTAGATATCCAATACAGAAGTGGATGTACTTATTCTCTCTCTGCCTAGGGTTTGTATAATTTATATTTAGCAGTATTTAATTTTTAATACTGATTTTACATTTTACCATGATAGTTTTATAGTTGCATTTTGCTTTACCGGCAGCCCAGAGTCATTTTTCTTCTGATGGCAGCCATGATAGATTAGATAGATAGATAGATAGATAGATAGATAGATAGATAGATAGATAGATAGATAGATAGATAGATAGATAGATAAGATAGATAAGATAGATTAGATAGATAGATTAGATAGATTAGATAGATAGATAGATAGATAGATAGATAGATAGATAGATAGATAGATAGATAGATAGATAGATAGATAGATAGATAGATAGATAGATAGAGATGGATGGATGGACGGACGGACGGACGGAAGGACGGATAGGATAGATAGGATAGACAGACAGACGGACAGATAGATTAGATATAAAGATAGATACATAAATACATAGATAGATTAGAGATAAAGATAGACAGATAAAGATAGATTAGATATAGATATAGATAAAGATATAGATTAGATAGATAGATAGATGATAGATAGATAGATAGATAGATAGATAGATAGATAGATAGATAGATAGATAGATAGATAGATAGATAGATAGATGGATGGATGGATGGATGGATGGATGGACGGACGGACGGACGGACGGACGGACAGGATAGGATAGACAGACAGACGGATAGATAGATTAGATATAAAGATAGATACATAAATACATAGATAGATTAGAGATAAAGATAGACAGATAAAGATAGATTAGATATAGACAGATAAAGATATAGATTAGATAGATAGATGATAGATAGATAGATTAGATAGATAGATGATAGATAGATAGATAGATAGATAGATAGATAGATAGATAGATAGATAGATAGATAGATAGAAGAGTGAGTGTGAGTGAGAGTCACAAGGAGAAAAAGTAATTCAATTCAAATGGAAAATTATGAACAACAAAATTTCATTGGGTTGTCAATGAAGATTCATAAGTCACCTGTTGCAAAGAATGAATAAGGAAGCTACTGCCAGTAACTCTTATGAAAACCTGAAATCATCCCCCCACCTCACCTTGAACTCAATAATTAGAACAGGAGAATGGTAACCTCGTCAAAGAACCAACTGTTGTGTGTTACAAAAAAAAAAAGGCACTTAGATTCCTTTAATTCCTTGAGTAAGTTTAGTACTAGAAATTGCAGCTCCCTCCCAATTGGCAGGGAGTCTATGAATATTCTAAAATCCGTGCAAAGGAAGGAGGCAATAGGCAGGATTACAGCTCTCATCCTCTGCAGCTGATGCCACAACGTGGCAGAATGAATGGGAATTACAATCAACACAAGGCTTTTGTAGAGAAAATACCAGGGGATTCCTGTACAGTATATATAATATTAAACTCACAGAGTGGCTTAATATGAAAGAAGGCTGAGGCAAGAATTTGCATCCCAGCCGTACTTAACGGTGGCTGGCTTAACCGGCTTTTCCTTTCCTATTTCATAACAAAACAAAACACAAAACTAACACAAAGAAATTTACAACCGTGATCTGGACCCTAACCCAGGCTCTTCCAAGCCAAAAATCAAAGAGAAGATAGTTTTGCACGCTGTGTCAACTCAGATGCAATTGCAACAGGTCAGTTAGATGCCATTGTCAATCACTCTGATGAAGCAGCCTTTTGTGTCATGGCTGCTTCAAGCCAGGCTGTATTTCAGCCAAAATGTATTTACTGAGAAAACAAGAGGTTTATATAGTCCTTAATAGGTGGCAAGTATTATATATGTCACCCTGCAAACTAACAAGCGTGGTACACATGATTTAACTCTGAAAGTCCCCGGTTCCTGGCTAAATCACTAAATTTAGTTGTGCATTTATGAAAGCGAGTGCAGGAAGGTAAAAAAAGCTATTTCCGGTACACCAGTCTTCTGCCCACGTAGATTTCAGCAGTCAGGAACATCATGTACTGCTAGCAAAGCCAGAGGATCCTGCTCAACAGCACGATCTTTTTTTCACAAATGTGCTGTTGGAGAATTTCTCACACAGTCTGAGTGAGGATGTAAATTGACAAAGCTGTTAACCAGGGTTTGGGAGCAAATTAGGATTCCTTTTTGGACACGATAGAGGCTTTAGAACAATTAACCAGTGGAACAACCTGTCTCCAGAAGCGGTGAATGCTCCAACACTGGACGTTTTTAAGAAGAGAGTGAGTGGACAGCCATTTGTCTGAAGTGGTTATAGAGTTTTCCTGCCTGAGCAGGGGGTTGGACTAGATGACCTCCAAGGTCCCTTTCAACATCATCATCATCATCATCATCATCATCATCATCATCATCATCATCATCATCATCATCATTATTATTATTATATTATTATTATATTATTATATGCTGGGAAAGAAAAAATAAGCTGGCTTATATTCAAACAGCAGGTTACAATAGAAGTCAATCAATCAATCAATCAATCAATCAATCAATCAGAATAGAGCTGGAAGGGACCCACAAGGTGACAAATCTTAAAGGTTTTTCTCTCAGAAGCCCTATGAGCTTTGTGTATCTTTGTCCTGCCTCTTTTCTGGAGCCAGAACTTGGTACTTCAAAGTGGTGCTATCTCCTCTCCTGATCCCAGCCTGTGAGATAGGGTTCTCGCTCTCTGCCCTGACAATGTACAGGTAGTCCTCAACTTACGACCATAATAACAACAACAACAATAAAGTTGGAAGGGACCTTGGAGGTCATCTAGTCCAACCCCCTGCTCAGGCAGGAAACCCTATACCATTTCGGACAGATGGCTGTCCAGTCTCTTTTTAAAAACTTCCAGTGTTGGAGCATTCACCGCTTCTGGAGGCAGGTTGTTCCACTGGTTAATTGTTCTAACAGTCAGGAAGTTTCTCCTTAGTTCTAGGTTGCTTCTCTCCTTGATTAGTTTCCATCCATCCGTTTCCTGCCTGAGCAGGGGGTTGGACTAGATGAGCTCCAAGGTCCCTTCCAACATCATCATCATCATCATCATCATCATCATCATCATCATCATCATCATCATCATCATCATCATCATCATCATCATCATCATCATCATCATCACTATTTATTATTATTATTATTATTATTATTATTATTATTATTATTATTATTATTATTATTATTATTAATGTCCCTTGTGAATGTGCCCCAAGAGACTGCTGAAAAACTGCCTAATCTGTGGCAAATACCCAGCTGCTAAGTAATGCTGGAATCAAAGACCCATCAAGCAAAGAAATACTGGGGCCAGATTTTTTTTTACTCTAATTCAGATGATTCTTAAAAGAAATGGGAAACTGAAACCAGAGCTTTTAAATCTTGTATGCATAAAGATGGATAACACATTAATTCCCACAATGGAAGAATGAAAGAGTGACGTAGGACCATTTTTCCCACTTAACAACCGTTGCAGCCTCCCCACGGTCACGTGACCAAAATCCAGATGCTGGGCAACTGGCATTTATTTATGGCAGTTGCAGTGTGTGTGTGGGGGGGTCATGCGACACCCCCCTTTTGCTACCTTCTGAGAAGCAAAGTCAATAGGGGAAGCCAGATTCACTTAACAACCGTGTTACCAGTTTAACAACCGCAAGGATTCCACTTAACGGTGGCGACAAAGGTCCTAAAATGGGGCAAAACTCATTTTAACTGTCTCACTTAGCCGCAGAAATTTTGGACTCAGTTGCAGTGGCAGGTCGAGGACTTCCTGTACGTACATACATCATAAAAAAGAGGTTGAGTCTTTAGAAAGAGTGCAGAGAAGAGCAACAAAGATGATTAGGGGACTGGAGGCTAAAACATATAAGGAACGGTCGCTGGAATTGGGGATGTCTATTTTAATGAAGAGAAGGACGAGGGGGGACATGATAGCAGTGTTCCAGTATCTCAGGGGCTGCCCCAAAGAAGAGGCAGTCAAGCTATTCTCCAAAGCGCCTGAAGGCAGGACAAGAAGCAACGGATAGAAACTCATCAAGGAGAGAAGCAACCTGGAACTAAGGAGAAACTTCCTGACAGTGAGGACAATTAACCAGTGGAACCACCTGCCTCCAGAAGCGGTGAACGCTCCAACACTGGAAGTTTTTAAGAAGAGACTGGACAGCCATTTGTCCAAAATGGTATAGGGTTTCCTGCCTGAGCAGGGGGTTGGACTAGATGACCTCCAAGGTCCCTTCCAACTTTATCATTATTATTATAATGAAGAATAATAATTTAAAATTTAGTTTTGACTTCCCTTGCTGAAATAAACTTCCGATTACTAAGATGCAAGTACACCAAATGTAATAGCAGCCACGTGTTTAACTTCAAATCTTTGGCTTCCTGAACCCGAACCATCTA